CTTGTTTATTTTGCTGTCGCACCCAGTGCAACCTTTGAAGAAAGTCAGTCGCGCCTTAAATAAATTTGGTTGCAAAATGCAACTGATCATTCGCAGTCCGAAGCCTTGCTATAGATTTTAATTTTATCTATTTAGTCTGACCTTAACTCTCTCTCTCTCTCTTTATCTCTCACTCTCTGTAGCTGTGGTGGATCTGAATGGACGTTATTTTGGCGGGAGAGTTGTCAAAGCCTGTTTCTACAATCTAGACAAATTTCGGGTTTTAGACCTTGGTGAGCAGGTGTGACGTCGCCCTGGATAACTTGGTGAACACCAAGAGATGCTATGAACCCACATCATCTCTCCACTTGTATATCAAAATTTTTTATATTTCCATAAAAGCAGTGAACTGTCTGAATGTAGTAGTAACGACGAGAACATCTTGTAGATTGTTTTTTTTTTTTTCCTGTGATGAAAAATACTCTTGTCAAAATAAAGAGCATCAACTGTGTTGTCTTCCCCAATTTCCTTATGTATCCATACAAAACTGTCTGCTTTTGTTGTTTTCCATAGTTGATTTTGAACATCGGCTTGAGAAACCTGTCTGAATTTTTTTTTCCCCTGACATAACACGTGCCACAGTGGTGTTAATGCATCCCCAGGGCCCTGTAAGTCTTGGCCCTAATGGATTGGGGGAGGGGATAGGGACAGTGAATGCAGCCTCAGCCTCATTCAGAACTTATGTGACTGCACTGTAAGGCCCCTGGAGGTTACTCCTGCAGTATGAGTGATCGAATCATCCTGTTCCATTGGGATCCTGTTGTCAGAGGTTCGAATCATGGTGCCTGCAGTCCACATATCAAAGTGTCCTTGGGCAAGACACTGAACCCCCAAGTTGCCCCTGATGGTGTTAGGTATTTTTAGTCAGACATTGGTTAGACACATCGGTTGAGTTGGCACCGCAGATGGCTGCCATCGATTCTGTACTGGAAACAAATTCCTTGTGTGTAATATACTTGGCCAATAAAGGTGAATATCCTTATCCTTATTATGGTCCTGATGTTGGATGTCCACTTCAGGTCCTGGGAGATAGTGGAGCCCAGGAACTTGTAAGACTTTGCTGCTGATACAGTGCTGCCAAGTATGGGGGGGGTATTCTTGAAGTCCACTGTCATCTCCACTGTTTTGAGCATGTTCAGCTCCAGGTTGTTGCAGCTACACCACAGGACCAGCTGCTCAACCTCCTGTCTGTAGGAGGGCCTGGTGCCCTTCTGATCCTTTGTTTTTTAAAGAGGCCACGCACATCCTTTTCACAGATCATTAGAGGTGGGGGCCTGGAGGGAAGGGTGGTCCTTGTCGGGGGAGCAGCTGCTGGGTCTGAGGTGGGGAGGGTGAGTGGGGGTGTTGTTTGTCAAACCTGCAGTAGAACACATTCAGATTGTCTGCTAGTTGACGGTCCTCCACAGCGGTGGTGGTGGTGGTGGGGGGGGGTTCCGTCAGGGGAGCAGCTACGGGGTCTGAGGTGGGGAGGGTGAGGTGGGAGTGTTGTTTGTCAAACCTGCAGTAGAACACATTCAGATTGTCTGCTAGTTGACGGTCCTCCACAGCGGTGGTGGTGGTGGTGGGGGGGGGTTCAGGCTTCTCCACAGAGATGAGGGATTGTTGGCTGAAACCTGGGCTTTCAGCTTTTCAGAGTAGCTTTTCTTTGCTGCTCTGATCTCCTTTGTCAGTGTGTTCCTGGCCTGGCTGTACAGAGTTCTTTCCACACTTCTGTAAGCCACCTTTTGGCACGATGAAGCTGCTTGATTCTTGCTGTGAACCAGGGCTAGTTGTTGTATGTACAGAAGGACATTTTGGGCACACACACATCCTCACAAAAATCTACAGCAGAAGTGATCAGGGAGATGGGTAGGAAGGTGCTAGGTGTGTCATCTGGAAGGAGGAAAGAAGATAAGGAAACGTGGTGGAATGAGGAAGTACAGGACAACATTCAGAGGAAGAGGCTAGCTAGAAAGAAGTGGGATGTACAAAGGACTGAAGACAGTAGACAGGATTACAAGAAATTGCAGCATAGAGTGAAGAGGGAGGTGGCAATGGCCAAACAGAAAGCATATGATGAGTT